AGGGCTCAAAGGGGGGCCCCCAGACGGCAGTGCCATCTTCACTGGCGCGCTACGGGACGGCTGGCGCGGCATTTTGTTTAATTTTGAATTTCTGATTGCCACTCCGGATTTTCAACATCACACCACACCACACCATGCCGTTTGCACCACCACACAACTCACTGTTTGCTTGTCATCACCAGCTACCACGATAACCACCACCAAGTCCATTTCAACCATCACTACCCACCACTGACCTTTTTTTTAATTCAACACTTATTTTTTCTTCAAAACTATAATTCACTCAATCAAATTAATCAATATCATTAGATCAACCTTGAAATCCACTTAGAAGCATGGTACAAATAAATGAAATACAGGATGAAGTTCTTGGCCCAATCCTTCTTGGCTACTGCGAGGAAGGTATCACCCAGGCTACAATGGTCACTGGCCTTTCTTACAATCACAATATTGAGACAACTTTGCAAACCCTGCAGCGTATTCTCAAGAACTTTGACCTCCCCACCACTTGAGAATCAATGACTCAGGAGCAGAAGGAACAAGCTTACCCTCTACTGCAACAATACTACACCATTGGCATGACACGTCTAGAAGCCATGTGTGCAATTAATAATACATACAACATTCCTATCAATATGTATAACATTCAAACAATGTCAAAAGACTTGGGTATCAATTGGCGAGGTGATCATGTTCAACAAGGCCGTGTGACGGTGGATCAGGTGGTAGATTTATTACTGGAAGCAATTGAAGGTGAAGATCGGAATGCAGGATATCAAACTATGCAGCAAAACCTTGCAGTTAATCACCACATCAAGATCAATTGTGACACAGTCTATAAGTTGATGCGTGTAATTCACCCCGAAGGAATGGAACTTCACTGCCGTGGTGTTCTCAAGCGGCGGATCTTTCATGTTCCAGGCCCCAATCATGTGTGCGCTAGTGATGGGCACGATAAACTGAAGCCATATGGGATATGTATTTATGGTTTTATTGATACATGGTCAAGGAAGGTTTTGAGTCTTCGAGTTGGGAGAAAAAACAACAACCCACAAGTAGTTGGTCTATACTTTCTAGAGCTTGTTTCTGCTGTTGGAGGATTTCCAGTCAAAACTTCAACCGATCATGGAACCAAGACTGGTGATATGGCTACATTCCAAGCTTTGTTTACACACATTTACGCTGGTGAAAGTGTTGAAGACACATTGAACCATCACCACTACACCACTTCTACTCACAATCAGAAGATAGAGTCACTTTGGTCACAGCTAATGCGCGCAAAGAATACAACTCTCTGCGATGATATCAAACTGGCTATTGATACTGGGATGTATAATCCAAAGGACCCACTTCAGAAGTCAGTTTTTTACACTGAATTCAGCCTTTTTCTTTTGGGGTTCTTTGCTAACATGAATGTGATTTCAAATTTTGTGCGTAGGGCTTTGTTTTTACACCTCTGGATACCTTTAGTTCAACGTGTGATGAATTCATTCATGGAAAGGAAGAAAACATACCAGACTCGCAAAAACCCAAATTCACACCTCCCAACTGGAGTGGCACCCAATACATGTTATTATTCTTCTGAAAATTATGATGGGACTCAGGGACTTCATCCTGTACCCCTGGAGGCACTTGATCAAATGATAAATGATCAATATCCAGAGCGTGCAGATCTTTTGCGGGTATCTCCTCCTCAGTTGTCCCGGCAAGTTTGCATTTTAATCCAACGGTTAGGAGTTCAAGAAGCCAATATCACTGTCAACAATGTATGGAAAGTTTTTGAACGGTTGTTACCCTTTTTGAGACTCATTGAGGTAGACTTTGATTTAGAGGGGTTTTATGAAGATGAAGACGAGCAATCTCACACTTGATTTCATAAAAATGCATAGAATAATCTCCAATTTTATTCCAACAAAAAAAAATAGATGAATAGACAAGACCTTCACAATGGTAAATAAGATTCTTTTCAAACTTGTTCCTTTCATTTATTTACGGTACTCAAAGTTGAAAGGTAGAATCTACCTTTTTCTGAAACCTAAATAGTTAGGTTTCCAAAAACTAGGCACAGCCGGGAAAAGTGAGATTCACGCTGTCTAGTGGCTGCAAATCCCGCTGCCGGCTGCCTATGAACTTCAACCTTATTTCTTGCCGACGTCGAGCCCCAATCTACCTCCACTTCCAATGTGCGTAAATCCCTGCATGAACTCAACAAACCCCACAACCACTTCACCCATGTCTCAACCAGCAACTAACCCGCGTGGCAGCCAAAAAGCTAAAGGGAAACCCTCTGAATCAACTACCATCACCCCAACTCCTCCTAAGAGAAATCAGATGTCGTGGTTGAAAGACTTGAACACTGAAGGCAAGTCAGCTCTTGACTTGATAGCTGAATGGCTGGCTTTCACCTGGGGTGATCAAGAGTCCACATCCGACGCGATCTGGATGTGTATGGAGTCAAGTGATCTCATCTCGACAAATTATTCTGTTTTTCGCTTGGTAAACCTTTCCAAGAAGGAATGCACCGAGAGATGTGCTAAGTACTTGCATGCGCATGGCTTTGTCATCCCAGATTGGAAGGGATGTAAACAAAAGGTTAGCTGTTCCTCTCACATCCAATATTTCCTTTGGTGAAAAGACTTCTAACGTGTTTCTTTTAAATTTGGCTCTAAGATTGAGCAGTTAGAATCAAAGTTCCGTGCAGCAAAGAATTGGCACAAGGCCACTGGTGCTGGGGTCATGGAGACAGCTGAAGACAAGATTGCCGCGCTCCGAGCTAATAATGATGTTCAGATTGATATTGAGGAGGAGGAGGCAATCAAGGCATCCGCTGCGAAAACTACAAAGGGTTAGTCCAATCATCTCATTCCTGTCTGATGTTGATTTATGTACTGACCTGATGTTGCTACAGATCTGTTGGATAGGTTATGCCCCTATTATGAATCCCTTGTCCCCATAATGGGTGAGCGTGTAGGCAATCAACCCTTGTACACGGCCAAATCCTCTGCAAGAGCCAGCCAAATCAATATTGCGACTCAAAACACCGCAACTCAAGAGTCACCAATTGTTAATAAAACCCAATCATCCCGTTACACTGTCTGGGAACCGAGTGAATTTCTTCAGCCGGATGACCTCTACGATCCAGATGCCAACGAAGACGACGACTTGCCACTTCCAGGTGATTTGGTTGACCCGATCAAACCTTTACCCCATATCCAATCTGTATCTAACTCACAAAGAAAAAGTTGCCGACTTAACCCACCTGCTATTTGTGATCCAATCCCTAAAGATACACCAAGACGCGCTTCAGGTAATGCGACCCTTTTGAACAATATACAATCTTCTCTACCGACTCAATCCGACTTCAAAGAACTGAACAAGAAAAGTTGCCGACTTAACCCACCTGCTATTTGTGATCCAATCCCTAAAGATACACCAAGACGCGCTTCAGTACTGTGATGGGGATGATCTGAACAATATACAATCTTCTCTACCGACTCAATCCGACTTCAAAGAACTGAATCAACACCACAAAAGTTCAAACGATAACACCCGAATCATGGTTCAACAAGCTGCTGATGCTACTAATACTGTGATGGGGATGATCAGCTCAAGATTTGGTTTTCAAATGCCCAAAGACACTCAAAAACAATCTGTCGATGAGGATGAAGATCCTGAAGCTGTTGCCACCAAAAAAACCAAGCAGGCCAAACAAGACGAACTCAATCTACTCAAGTTGGATCGCGAGTTAGCACAGGAGCAAAAGGCTTTGGAGCTTGACAAGTCCGGCTCGGGGATGTCAAAACTTCAATTAGGCCGAGAGATGGTGGAGATGATAGCAAAGCTAACTTCAGCAACAGTTCCTCATGAGGAAGCTAAAAAGATGGCTCAAGAATTCCTTCAAGTTTTATAGCAAACCTTTCCTTTTTAAAACAAGGCTTTTGATTTTGGTTCTTTCTTTGATTGGTCTCTTATCTTTTCATGATAACCAAAAAAACATCAAAAAAACAAAAAATTCTTGCTTTGATTCTTATTTTTTATTCTTGATAACCAAATAAAATGGCAAAAAAACTTGTTCACCTTTTCCTATCTCAATTCACAATTCCCTGCTCCTTTTCTATCTCGATAGAAACCGTTGAATCCCCTAAATATATAGTCGCATCCTATCATGCTGTGTTGAGCGTTTAAGAAATGAATCATGCATGGAAGTGAATCAAATCATTTGTTCCATTCATCTCTTGCATCCTTGAAATGGGTCAAGTGAGCTATGACGAAATCGAGTGATTACTTTCGGACTGCCTTTTCCGTGATTCATATCAAACGAGTCAAATAGAGGATTAGATTTGAATCGGTTCAAATCAAAATAATCACTCCTAGATTTGAATCGATTCAAATCAAGAGAACAACTCCTTTAGTCTTAAAAGGTCTTGAATTGATTCAAATGACTCAATCAAATCAACTGAATGTAAATAAAAGTTGATCTCATCAATTTCAAGACCTGGACTATATCAGAGTTGATATCTCATATTTAAAAGCATCTAACAAAATCACCTAATCTTGGTATCTCAAAGGTATAAATGATCTGATTACATTGATCGACCTCAACTACAGTGCGGAATTTGAGGTACAAGAGTATTCATATCAATGCCCTTCCTGAGTACGTCTGAACTCGCACAGTAGAGTATTACGTCTGGAATATGCAGCTGTGTGTTCTTCTTCCAACGGTTCTTCTTCCCCTTGTCCAAAAGCTTTGGGAATTCGTTCTTCAGGCTCCGGAACCCAAACATCCCTCTGCTGGATTGAAAAGTTGTGTAAGATGCAGCAGACGTCGATCCAGTCAACAGCCTGTTTTGCTGAGGCAGCGTCCTTGATGAAGACACACAAGTCTTGCAAAGACTGAAATCGCAACTTGAGTTGCCCGTTTCCGTGCTACAACCCTGATTTCGCTGAGTGACTTGTTGAATAGCTTCTTTATTGGTTCCAATGATTGTCATCAAGGGCTTTTAAAGGTTGGAATCAGGTTTTTTGTGCAGGTGTAACCAGAGTCTGCCAAGATATATTCGTTTTCACTAAAAAAATCTTTGGGATGTTGTGAAATCTATCAAGAGGAACCAATTTGTATCCTTGTTTGTAACTATTGAATGAGACAAATCTACCTCGGTGTGTGAGAATATGCGCTGGTCATGTGAACTACCACACCAGCCATGCAAACTATATATGATGCGGGCTTGATGATCACAAATTAATAATGAGTTGAGGGCGTAGGTGTGCTTCCGAGTCCAGAAATCTTCTGGGTTGATTGTCGGAGCACGGCTGAGAGGGATGAGGGTACCATCGATAAATCCAACCCAGTCTTTGAAGAATGATTTCCGTCCGATTTGCTGTTTGATGTGAGTTCGCTCTTCTTGATTAGGCCAGTAAAGGTAGTCATCCTTCAACTTCAAGATTGCCTCAAAACAACGTCTTGTGAAATTATGAACAGAGCCCTCTATGTACATACAAACAAAAACAGTCAGTAAGATTTCGAGATCTGATATCACGCTGACCTACCACTCATTGCAAACATTTGACCTATCATATACCCACTGCCGCCATTTCCACTAAGTCCCAGTTGACATAAGGTCAGTAATAGTTGCCATTGAACAGGTGATTGAGGAACTGATGAGTTGTTGTGGAAAACTAGATCATCTTGAATTAGAGTAACCAATTGATGGAAGTTGTTTTTGGACATTCGAGCCTGATGGTATTAGATGGCCTACATCAGCAAATGAGCGAAAAGGACATCTATGTGAAAGTGGTCTTACAAATTTGCAAAAGTTACGTTCACTCGCATTCAAAACCCCATTGAACCTTGACCGTTGAAGGGGTTGATCTCTGATGTGAATTCTTGGTTCAATGTATCAGAGGTGAGTGATATTGTCAAAGGCTTGACCAATCACCAAACCAATCTTCATAGTATGTTGAAGGATCACATGCTGAGTATTGGTGAGCTCTTGTAGATCACAGATGGCTTCAAGGAAGGTGTTGAATGCGTGACTGAGGGAGAGAACACTGCAGACATTATTCGGGTTCCCCAAGTGGGCAGGGAAAAATGATTGGGAGTATGATTTGTCATAAAATGGTCTATCACTCCACACCTGAGCCATAACACCCACACTACATATGTGTAGCAGGCTCAGTGAATATGTGGTTATCATGTACATACAGTTCTGCTCAGTTATCTGCTCATCAGGACAAGTTATTCATATGTAATACATGCTGTAACTTCTTTCAGATTGAAAAAAGCTTCCAAAAGATTGACTACATACACTGACTCAATGTTTTGGTGTGATCTCATCAACTCAACTGCATGTAACACACTTTCTGTTACTAAGACATAGCTTCAACAATATTGCCTGAGCAGCTACAGAATTATATGTAGTGAATTTTTGGGAAAAAAATTTCAAAGTCGAAAAAGTTACATGTGGTATAACATGTGATTTATTTATTCTGATGGGCAAAAAACTGAGCAGACCTGTATGTACATGATAGACAACTATTGACTTAGCTTGCTGCACATATGTAGTGTGGGTGAAATGGCCCAGGTGTGCAGTATTAGATTCTTTTATGAAAAACTGTACTATTAATCATTTTCCTCTGCCAAATTGGGGAAGTTGAATGATGTTTACAGTGGAATCGAAAAGATTAAGACTTCTTCAGACTCTTCGAGTAAGATTGCGGCGGCAGTTGTCATCATTTTGAGTTGAAGGTAGGCATACAAAGAAACGTAAGAGGGGGGTTTTGATGTGAAGTAGATGACGGATAAGACCTTTTTGGAGGCCTTCACAAGTTCCGTGGGGAGTTGTTGCCGGAGACCCACGCGAGGCATGAGTAAGAGGAAATGCTGGCTGATGGTGAAAATTGTAAGCATGGGGTCCTCAAAGTAAAAGAAAACTAGGCTGCATATCAGTTTTTTTCCCCGCCAAAAACAAAACTAGTATTCTAGGTTTTGAAAAAGGCAGAATCTGCCTTTCAACTTTGTGTACCGTTATTCATCACATCAAAATCAGTTGTATCAATCTACCATTTACTTATTGAGTTCAGATTTCCATTTTTTTGCCAATGTGAGGCCTAAGTTTTTGCACCATACATTGCACTTGCGTTGAGATATGAAGAGCTTGAGGCCATCATAGTTCAGGTTTCCGCTCCCAAAGGATTTACTGTGTTCAAAAAAAACCATTTGAGCAAGATTAATTCACATTACAAATTTCTTTTAAGGATAAAAAATGGTCTATGAACTACACTCACTCAAGATCAATGACTGCTGGGTCTGTGAGTGTAGAACCAACTCCCTGTAGGTCACATACAAAAGAGCATCCTGCATTCTCATTCAAATCATAATGAGTCATTGCATGGAGCATTTCATGAAGTGGGTCACCTTTATTTTTGGTTTTAATAGCAAAGTTATCATTGCCCACATACTTCACGTAGTCTTCTACCAGTTCCTCTTCAAAGATCCAAAAATCTGTACTATCATTGTCAAGATCCATGTGCGATTCTTCAGTACCCACAATTTGCACAACCCAACGCTTCACAATCTGTTTTACAATAGTCAAGAAGTACAGAGAGAATTTCTTGTCAGCTTGTGATCACCAAGCCTAATAAATGAAAATGAAAATGAGCTTACTGTCAAAGTCTTGACTAGATCCTTCTCGAGTTGAGTGAATTTCTTGTCACTCAAAAGTTTGGCTTTGAACCTCTCAATAACACCTTCAACATGCACATATGTCTGTGCTTGACCCTGATCCTGCCCCAATGGACAGTGAAGACCAAACATCTGCTTAGCCACAACACAATGAACTTGATTGTCTATAAGCAATTGTGCTCTATAGCACTGCATAAATCAACCTGCACCAATTAAAGATTCTCAATCAACTTGGAAAGAGATTGCAACCTGTTTGAAGACGGCTTTTTCATTTTTAGTAATCAATGAAAGTAGCCAACCTTTGTTCCAATTTGAGATTGAAAAAGGGGGGTATGGCAGGATTGGTTTTGCACCCCGAGCAAGGGAATGCATATTACCAAAGCTTTCAAGGGACATAGCTAGAGTTAAAAACAAAATATCAGTACTATTACAGTTCCTACAAGAAGCCCCAGATACTCACCTTCATCCTTCTCCGATCTCGCTAACAAGGCATCGTGAATCAAGAGGGTTCGAGTTTGGTTGGTTTGTACAGACACTGAGACAGTGTTTTTGTTGGTCATATGCTTTCGAACAACACCAATACAAAATGAACAAGATCAATTCTTGGTCAAATGCTTTTGAACACACCGATACAAATGAACAAGATTGATTCAAAGACAACTAACAGTGGCATCACCAACAGGTTCATCTCTTTCAGTAACAAGTGAGAGAGAAGGTTGCACTTGTTGAGCTTGTTCCGAGCTTGCAGATGCAACACGTACACTGTCCTCATTGAATTGAGCAGATTCACATTTGTGGATTTGGTCTTGTCCTAATTCAGTAACCAAACTGATATTCTCTCGGAATCAATCGTAGTTGTCATTCTCAATGGTAGGTTGGGTACTTCTTGGAGGTTGGTAACGTACAAGTTGTTTCTTTGTATTATCAACACTAGAAACATCATTATCATTGTCAGATGATAGATGGGTTCGCTGGAGCTTTTGAGTGTGAGGATGACATTTCGGCAATGAGACAATTGGCATTCCCAAAAGTCTGTTGGTTCTTCTTCATTGGAAGAAACTTCAAACTTTTTCTTTTGTTTTTGAGTTCGAGAACCTGAGTTCACACGCTTGGGAGAGGGAGATGATTCCGATGGAAGAGTTGCAATGTATCTCTTCATATTGAAGATCAAGCCAAACTTGGTCTTCTGCTTGCTAATGAGTGTGGATCATAAATCTAAAGGCACAACCCAGTTTCTCGGCAAAACTGGACAAAACCCCTTAAGCTTTCCATACTTCTCAATACCTGTTCAACTTAACCAAATTTCTCATCCATTTCACCCAAATTTCCTCTCAACCTGCTTATCGAGTATGACCCTGATCCTCACCCCCCAACTCTACCTTTTCAACGTCCATGATCACAGACCACTATCTCCCTCCAATCCCTGCATCCTCACCATAATTGCACCTAAGCCTGCATGGTAATTACGACACCATCCCCCAATAAACGCTCCCGAACTTACCTACGACCGTTCACACCTTCCCAACACCGAGCTCTGCACTCCAACTATTAAGTTTCCATGTGGCGTTGTTTCCCTATGGACAGCCATCACACGGCACACATAATCCGATTATTAGTGTGCGAGTTATAACTCTCAATCTTTCAATTCGCCTCTTCAGGAAGCATGATCGCTGACCCTCAACCTGTTTGCACTCGCGCACGTTTCATATAACCAGGCTCAATTCCATCCCTGCTCATCTTTCAGACTATTGGCCACCCCGTCGAATCATCCCTACACCAAGTTTCGGACTGTATTTGCCAAAGCCTTTCAACAACCAGTTCCGCGCCTTTAACCACTAGGTTTATGTCCAACTTTCTTTTGTGGACAGCCGTCACGCTACATTTTTCCGCGTCTCGATCTACAACGATGCCAATGTCCGTGGCAATACTACTGTTACCAGCAAGGTCGTATTTGATCGGCAGTCTCCTTTTTGGGGTCAAATCTACCCCACTCCCCAACCGATGGTTGGCTGCCAACACCCGGCTTTCCTACTATCCTCAGTCGCTAAGTTATTCTTAGTCTCTCCATTCTGATTCCACCCTAATTAGGTGTAACTACTTTGCCCATTACTCGTCCTTCATACTCCACTCAAAGTTTTAACAAACAGACTACTCCACATATCCATTGTAATCTTTTCCTTGTCTGTTAACCTTCCTGGTTCTCTATCAAGCACCCCCGCTTCTCTTTTTTGACAACCCGTAAGTGTGTTTCACCATTTCCTTGCTTACAACAGTCTCCAACGTTAACAAGTGTAACTCATGGCCTCGGTTACGGGATTGAATACCAGTTTCACCAATCTTTAATATGTCAACATTTCCAATTCCTGCAAACCCTGCGACTCGATCTCAAGTTTTGCCTGTTGAGGTTGTTGACTTGATCATCAACCAAGTCATGCTCCAAATCCCTGTTATCCCTTCCAATGCTGCGAACAGCGCCGACATTCCATCCCTTCGTCACGAGTACATCACACGACTCTTGCGATCTCGCTCATTGGGCCGAACCTGGAACAACGCCATTATCCCCCTTGTTTTCAAAAACTTACGCTTAACTCGTGATCCCGAAACCCTCGGCTTGATCGAAATGTGGTCAAAATGCTTCCTGACCCCAGGTCTACCACAACTTTGTCATCCCTTTCTTGACGGCATTTGGTACACGCTGCCTTCCTTCAAATCGTTGCCGGGGACTGTTTTAAGTTGTTCGACATTGTCATACGCTTGCAGCATCTTGCCAGAGACCGCCGCGTCTCTCATTAACCTATGCGGTCCCACCCTAATCACGTTGAAATTGTGTTTCGTCGAGATTGTTGGCTTTTCTCCTGCGCTTACCAGTGCGATCCATAAAATTGGGAACCTACAAACTCTCTTGATCCAGGGCTCTGGATCGCCCCACATAATCCACGATCACGAATCTGTCAAAACCCTCCTAGAGGGCACTGGATCTTTAAAGTCATTAACGATTAGATTTGCCTCATTGCCATCATTACATCTCAGACAAGGTTCCCTTTCGAATCTGACACACTTTTATATCTCCTGCTCTCGCAAAAATCTTTGCGCTGCGATTGATATATGTCGCGAAGAGGAAAGATTAATTGACACCCTCGAGTTATATCCCCCAAGCAATCCGGATTTGACTGCGGGCGTTGCTTTTGGCCTCGCTACAGCACTCAAAGTACTATTCATAATTTCAATCCCCGACCGTGTCCCACATGGCATGCGAATGCATGTCTTCCCCAACCTCAAGGTACTGCGCAGTGAGTACTCCAATTTGGAAAAAGAAAACCTCAAGTGGTTCAAATGGCCTATGCTCGAAACCATTGAGGTCCTGGTGGCTACCTATTGGTCTGGCAACCGTTACTGGCGTACCGTGCTGGAGGGAAATCATCCCGCGACTTTCACCGTGCCACCAAAGTTGAAACACATCGTCTTTACGACCCCTGGAAGTGATCAAATACGAGATCCATTCTTGGTTGACGCTTTTGACGTGATCGGCATTAAATGCCACTTTTTGGCGCCGATGAACCGTGTCCAAATCTTGGTGCGTAATTTTTACAAGTTTCCTCATGTGCGCGGCTCATCAATTGACAATTCATATTTCCATTAGGGGCTAGCTGATCAATTACGCAATTGAGGACAACACGATCCATCTTCTTAAACTAGCCCATTGAACTTTTAATTGTGCATGCGGAATTGAAATTTCAATTAGTGTTCTCATGACAAACGCCTATTACATCAATTTGTACCAGTTACTACTTACACCTGCCATGTTATTCAGAGCCCAACAAAACCTCCTACCTATGCTTTTGTCAATCGACTTCTTACAACCCAACATGATTTCGTGAACCGCGCCTACCATCTTGCCGGGCCATTGGCCGTGCGGCAATCGTTGTGGCTTATGAGTACTTGAATGAGTTCACAAAGTCAATGCCTGATTGCGCTCACTGCAACTCAGGGGCATTCAAATTCTCCTCACCCGCGCCTCTGCCAAATCTGCAAGATGTCCCGTGGAAACAACAATATCCTAGCCAGATGCCTTGTCCCATCGAGACTGGTTTTCACCAAAACAACCCGTGGCTTGGTACCCTGGCCTATCTTGGTATATACCTTGGCTTACGCGGAGGTAGAATTTGAGCAGTTTCAAACCCGGCTATAATCTTCACTCTTGGCGAGTGCGTTACTTGCAGATCTGAGTATGGTCACTGTCTGCTTCTTAACCTCGGTATACTCGTAAGTAATACCCTTGTGAACTTTTGACTATCCTAAATACATTTTAGCGACAATCGCTTCAATTCCACTTGATATCTACAGACTAATACCGACCAATTCAAACCAAGCGATATCTCGGTTCAACTAACAATACAACTTACACCACGAGGACAAGGCAATCAAAACTCTGAATGACTCTGCTGCCAATCAATGGTCCTGCGGCAACATCTTAACCAGTCATTTTCGCCGCGTGTATCTTCCCACGTTCGCAACCCGGGTTGATAATCCTCCTCTCAATCACACGTTCAATTGATCATTATAATTCATCATTGCCCATTCCCGGCGATTTCACCCAATAAGAGCAAATATTCTTGGGCTGATGCTAGGTACGTGGCATCAGAGCTATATTCATTTAACTTCTTCAATAAAGAGTTTTCCTAAACAAGGCTGCCATCTCAACTAAACGGATCCACTTCGAAAATGTCGCTGATCCCTTTTACCTCCCCTCCCACCCCTCGAAATGGTCAATTGCCAGTCGAAGTGGTTGAACTCATTCTTCAAGAACTCATGGCGCAAAACCGTGTCATAGCTGCTGATCCCACCAATTGCGCCAATACTTCGTCCTTGCATCACGTCGATGTTACCCGCCTTCTTCAATTACGTTTAATAGGCAAATCCTGGGATAATGCAATCCTGCCTATCATTTTTCGAGGATTGCGCTTGACTCGCAACAAAATGACCAGTAGTCTTGTCCGCATCTGGACGGCCTCTTACCTAACTCCTGGTTTTCCGCATTTGAACCGACTCTATCTTGATGGCCTTCGACATCTGATGCCAAATTCTGAACTCATCCTTAACAAAACTTCACATAGTCCAACTTTGAATCACACATTTTCCATTTTACCTCACAACGCTGCCTCAATAATTAATTTATGCCGATCCACCATCACGCACCTAAAACTACGCTTTGTCGACTGCGTCGGTTTTACCCCCGAATTGTTGAATCCTATCATATCTAGTCCGAGCCTTCACACCCTCAACATATCGGGTTCCCGGTCCTCGGAAACAACTCACGATTTCAACAGCACCAAATCCTTATTAGAGGCCATTCCGGGGTTGCAATCCTTATCTTTGAATTTTTCATGTCGTTCAATGAACATAGCACACACTTCCCTCTCTAACCTGGAACACCTTTGGTTCTCATGCGACCCCAATAACTTACACACAGCCACCAATATCTGCTGTTCCGTAGCCAGAAGAATTACATGCCTTGAGTTATTCCCACAGGCAAACCCTAATCCGGCAGCCTCAATTCCCCTGGGACTCAAAGATACGCTCGAGGTCCTATTCGTGGTTTCAATCCCCGATTGTGTCCCGCGCATAACCCGTCGCACTTCTTTTTCAAAGCTTTGGGTTTTACGCAGTGAATACTGCAAGACCAATTCTTTATATCTCAATGTTAAATGGTTAAAATGGCCTTTGTTGCAATTGATTGAAGTACTCGTAACCAGTTATTGGCATGGTAACGCGTATTGGCGCAATATCCTGACTCACATCGACATTGCAACCATCACCATTCCATCAAAATTACAACACATTGTGTTCACAACGCCTCAAGGCCCAGAACTTAGCGATCCCGAACTCGTGGAAGCTTTCCAGAAGATTGGACTCAAATGCCACTTTGTATTTCCATTAACTCGTGGTGAAATCATGGTATGTCGCAACTTGCCTTCGCTCACACCCTCCGGAGTCGCACTAACTATACAAATGTTGTGTAGACACTTGCGGACTTATTGCAATCCGAGTGATCAGCTTGTGCCAATTTGGCTTGTGCCCAGGGCTCTGATACTGCATTCAAGGCACTCTATCACACTAATTTCCATATTTAATATTCCCCTCAACATTGTTCTTTTGTATAAGCCAGTTTTTGTTTGCAGTGCTCAACGACAAAGACACAACCGCGATGCTGTCTGCTTGTTGTCTGCGTGTAGTGCCGCCTGTAGGCACACGTTCCACTTCAATTTCTATGGTTACTAATCCTTCTGAATGTACTTTTCATAAGGCAAAAGTTCTCACATCTTTGCCGTGACTATTCACAAATTAAAATGTTGTGGCTACAACCCCCAGGCTCCTTTTGATTAGCCCAAGTATCAATTTTTGCGCTTTGTCTTTCAAAATTATTAACAAAGCGTATGTTCCAACTAATACTTTAAACCAGGCCTCCAGGCTTTTCAGACATTGAATTCTTTGCCCACCACCTTTAAACTTTTCCCAAGCTTCCATGTGAACTCGTTTCATGCAGTTTGTGATAGGTAACCCAAAACCCAGAGAGCAAAAAGCGAGAAAATGCATGTGATGGGAGCTAGCTCTTCATGCACATTTGAGATTGGTTTGTATCTAACCGTGCTGAGACACAGGAGATAGAGTAAATATATGTTGGCATAAACAAGTCAGGAACCTACGAACATACCCGATATAACCTAAGCCCCAATGCTATTTTATGATGTCCGAAATCCTATGCATCCTAGACCAAACCCGAACCAATAATACATTTGCGCTCATTCACCTAGCCTTGCTCTGCATATCCTCGATGTCAGCTTGAAAACAAGAGTATATAACTGCCTTCGGCTTGGATTACCAGGATAACTTCCGTTTCATGTTCTCTGTCTTCATAACGAATGGCTAACCTTCTTCCCAACTTGAAACTCAGTATGGCGAAATTGCAAAGAATCCGACAAACTTGTATTCCATTTGCCTTTGTTTGCGAAACTTCGGCTCTGGACCACAATATAACCCGTGTATTCCGGTAGGAAAAGTATTGGTTTGTCATTCCTTTATATATCTCCGTAATTATTTGTTGGCCAATACACATGCATTGACCCAAAATTCGACTCCCCAAAGTGTATTTAGACTGAAATAATCTACTTTCAGGCTTTGACTTTCTTGAACCTCGGTTTCCAAGAACGCGATCGATATAATGGCATAATCAACAGCCATTGAGACGATCGACTCACGGTTTCGATATTGGTATTATACT